TGTGTTTCAGATTCTCAACTGGTTATCCCACAGTCCCACCGAGATAGAGAGCTATATAAGGCCAGGTTGTATCATATTAACGATATATCTTTGTCTTGAAAAATCTGCATGGGAAGAGGTATTGTTTAATATAATGCTACAATACTGGTTGCCAGATGAATACATTTGAAAAGGAGAAATAATTTAAATGTGTTTATTACTATTTTGATATTGCAGCTCTGCTGTAATCTAGGATCCAGCTTGAGAAAGCTTCTTAGCTCGTCAAATGATACATTTTGGAGAACAGGGTGGGTATTTGCAAGGGTGCAGCACTCTGTGGCTTTTCTGTATAACGGTTTGTTCTCCCTTATACTGTGTTGTGTGAGCATTCCTCTCATGTGATTGCAGTTTTAGTATCCTGAAGAAATATGTTGTTAATTATCTCTCCTGCAGGTCAGGTAGTCTTAGATGTGCCCTTGTGTCTCAAAAGCTCACATCATTGTACGATTTCATGCATTAAACCACTTGCTGTTCCTGCAAGTGCTAGGGCTCACTTTATTGTGAAAGGTTGCAACCTTTCCCAGTCTAGTACAAGGTAAATCCCTTTACATCAATTCAAAATTGTTAACTTAATGAAAGGTTCTAGCAAGAGGAGAGTATCTGTGCACAGGAAGAAGCTTATGTTGAACTACACAGTACTTAATTTTGTTCCATGCATATCATGCTGCAGGATGTACAATATCATAAGAAGGGATGTGAAAAAAAAGAAGAGACCATAATGTATTTTTGTTTCCCTGGATTTTAGCACCTTTGAATATTTATTGGGTGGAATTTTGAAAGAAAATGTTGCTTCAGATTCTAATAACTGTCAGTAGTACTGATCTAGCCACTGACATAATTTTATACAGGAATCATAGAGATTTTTATTTTGAGGGGAGGGGGTGGACACTTTTACCTTAGTTCAAGGGTATAAATTAGATTTTAATCTTCGTGTTCTATGTAGGATTTTGGATATAGGGAAGATCCTAGTTTTAAATTGTGTTTGTTGGGATTAGCCCAGATGTTGATCTATTGCTAATGATTTCCAGGTTGCTCTGTGCACTTGAAGGGAAGTATGTGGTACATGCTAGTTGTCATGATTTGATTGGTGAAGCTGATGAATCCATTCAGCATCTCAACTTCTCTTGTCATATACCAAATGTAACTGGGAGGGGTTTTATTGAGGTGCTATCACTTTATCACACTCCAAAATTTTTCAATGGGGTTTTCTTTGAAATATGCCTTAGTTTCATTTTGAAAGCTTATCCTGTAAACTTACTGAAATTAACAGAAACATCTGGCGCATACTTCGGACATGTCATTTGTGTCATGAATAACTCCTTCATTAATGATTCAATATTGCTGTTGTTGATGTCTGCCATTTGGTTCTTATAATAGCTCTTGGAAACTTGGTAGCTTTCGGTTAACCTTAGTCCATGTAGTATAGGTTTCCTTATAAACTCTTTAAAATAATCTTTTATGAACAAGGTTGAAAATTCCACATTGATTATATGACCAAATTATAATATATAATTAAATGCAAATCTTATTTTAAAAGTTGTTTTAAGTTTAAAGTGTCTATTTTATAAGAATGAAAATCATGTAAAACACTTCTCATGCATGTTTTCCAACAAAGAAAGCACAAAAGTAGCTTTTGGAAATTAAATCTATAGATGTGAGATAGCTTTTTCTATTTTTCTAGTTTCTGAAAATACATTTTGATGATAAATGGTGTCAGGTGGAAGACCATTGTCTTAGAAGCTGTTCCTTTCCATTTATAGTTGCAGAGAAAGAAGTCTGTTCAGAGATCTGCAAGCTGGAGAATGTGATTGAGGCTGCTGAAACCACTAATGATTTCCAGATTAAAAACCAAAAAATGGAAGAAAAGACTCAAGCTCTTCATTTCTTGCAAGAAATGGGTTGGCTTCTTCATAGAAGTCGTGTGAAAGTTAGGCTAGGTCCCACGGCTCCTATCCATGATCTCTTCCAATTTAATCGGTTCACGTGGCTTGTTGACTTCTCTATGGACCATGGTTGGTGTGCTGTGATGAAAAAACTATTGGATATTATATTTGATGGGGGTGTTGATGCAGGAGAACAGGCCTCCATTGAGCTTGCATTGTTAGACATGAGTCTTCTACACAAAGCCGTGAAGAGAAACAATAGACCTATGGTAGAACTACTATTAAGATTTGTGCCAGTTAAAACATCAGATGGTGCTGACAGTGAGGTGAAGCAAGTTGAAAAGGCATCCGACAGATTCTTATTTAGACCTGATACTGTTGGGCCAGCTGGATTGACTCCTCTTCATGTTGCAGCAACTATGAGAGGCTCAGAGAACGTGTTGGATGCATTAACTGATGATCCAGGAATGGTAATTCCTTTATTGTCTCTATTATGTAACTTTATGTTTTCTCATGCTTTTGCATTGTACTACTTCAAACTATGGGGGAAAAGGGGAAATGACTACAAGGAAAAACTAGTTTTTTCTCCTCCTTTTCACCTGAATTTTGGAATGTGTGGATAGAATGGGAAGAGAAATGAGGTGACCTTTGCTTTCAATATAATGGTTTCTAGTAGGTGCACTCATTGAATAAGCGTGAGAATACATATGTCCATGGAAACTTGCATGGTTTTCTGTATATTTTAAGTACACAATGCTTTCAACCTTATGTCTGTTGTGTTCAGGTAGGAATTGAAGTATGGAAAAGTGCCCGAGATAGTGCAGGTTTGACCCCTAACGACTATGCATGTATTAGGGGCTATTACTCTTACGTTCAACTTGTCCAGAGGAAGACAAACAAAAAAGGTGAAAGACTACATGTGGTTGATATCCCTGGCACTGTTGCAGACAGTGGTATCAGAAAGCAGAAGCAATCAGGTAAAGTTTCTAGCTTACAGACAGAGAAGATTGAAAGCACAGAAATGGGAAGTAACTGCAGGGTGTGCCAACAGAAGTTGGTTTATGGTGGCATAAGAACTGGTGTGGTTTATAGGCCAGTCTTGCTGTCCATGGTGGCCATAGCAGCCGTGTGTGTCTGTGTGGCTTTGCTCTTCAAAAGCTCACCTAGAGTTTACTATGTGTTCCAGCCTTTCAACTGGGAATCATTGGAGTATGGAACAGTATAATGCAGTCTATCAGCTGTTTTCCTGCTGTAGCTGCACCTTTTTTTAGTTTACAAGTGAAAGTCTTAGATTTTGAGTATATAGAGTATACTCAATATATATATATATATATATATATATATATATATATATAAAGGTTGAAGCTTCACATGTTCTGAACAGAATCTTGATCATGCAACCTGTTAAATATGTGGCCAACGCTATGTTAACATTGTGTGGAATGAAAGGGATAAACAGACATACTTGTATGAACATACTTAAACAAACAAACAAAGGGATGATCACAGAAGAACGGTGTATGAATCTCAATAAATGTCTCAGGTGCACATGAACATACTTAATATTTATTTTATATAACTTAAATCTATATTTACCTATATATTTTTTTTCCTCTTAATTTACAAAATTATCATCTCGTTTTAATATGATTTTTATTTTATATGTTCACAAAACAAAATGGTGAAAATAACTATTTTTTCTATTTTCTGTATAGTTTTTTTTTCTGTTAATTTTAAACAGATACTTTGCTGGTTGACTTTGTTATTTTGAGCCCATTCCTTCTAGAAATTGACTTTTATACGAATCTTTGATAACATGAAACAAATTGAAAATAGAGTAACAATTATAGAAGATAAAAGTTTTGATTGAAAGTATAAACACAAGACATTAAAACAAAAGTAAATCTAGCTAAAATTTCACTAAACAGAATTGATCATTTTTCTTCTTTCTACTTTTCCTTCAATTGAATGTTACATTTCTGTTTTTTTTTTTTATTTCCATCCACCCAAATAAAATGGCTAATTGGTTGATGAAAAAAAACATGAAAGAAAACAACTACAGAGTGATATTATGTTAATGCTATTTGTTTAAATATAGAAAGAAAATATATATGCCAAAAGTAAAACAAAAACAATATTAGTGTAAAATGACTTAAATATGTAAGAAAAATACTATGACCTATTTTTTATTACTTAAAACTTATTAATTAAAAGAATTTTTTAGTATCATATTATATCTTATAAAAGAATTAAAAGCATTTCATTTTTTATTTTTTTTATTTTTTTGTTATACCTTGTTATCTTTTAAATCAAATACAATACTAGTTTTTGTTATACTAGCATTTTTCTTAATTTATATATCATTATAAAAGATAAAATAATATAAAAAATAATGTCAATACAAACAAAAATTTAATCAGATATTTTATATTCATGTTCTTGAATTCAAATGAAATTTATTATGAATAATTGATATTTTTAAATATTTATTATCTAAAATAATAAAAAATGAGTATTTTAATATTTATTTATAAATTAAATACAGATTCATACATGTATTCGTTTTGTAAGTTAACATTAAAATTTAATTTATATTTTATTAAATTAAAATTTAATTTATATTTTATTAAATTTAATTTAATTAGAATTAAAATTTAATTTATATTTAATAAATATGTTTGTTTTAGTCAAATAGAAGTAGGCACTATGATGTCATTAGCCCTTATCATCTATAATTCTCTCATTCAACTTTTAATATTTTAATTATTTTCCGAATTTTTCATTTTTATACTTATTACTACTTTTTAATTTTATATTCCATTAAATATTTAGCATAGCAAAATGCCTGTCTTTGGAAAAAAAAAAGTTAAAAACAGATAAATAAAATAATAGCATCTTTTATTACAATTTCTTTAGTAGTAGAAGACATAAGTTTAATAATCTCAAATTTAGGCTTTTACATGTTTAATTTAATACATTTACAAAAAATGTGTTATATAGTAATAATTGAATGATAAAATAAAAGAAAGTGAAGTAAAATTCAAGAAAATGTCTTATAATATATTCTTTCTGGAGAAGAAATAAAAAATGGTGCAGTGGATTGATTTAAGGGATGTGAGTCTTCCACACTCGCTTCTTGTTCTTCAGTTATGGCTTCCCTTTCTCTCTCCTTTTCATCTTCCATTGTTCCCTCTTCAATTCCTCACCACAAATCCACCAAAATCCACACTCAAGACTCCACTTTTAGGGTTACCTGCTTCGCCATTTCCTCTCCCCCCTCCAAACCCGTTGTCAAAAAGCGACACTGGAAAAAAGGTGAGTTTCCTGGTACTTCCGAAACATCGTTTGACGATAGTACGAGGAGGACCCCCATCAAGAACATCAAGAGGAAGTTGGAGAAAAAGAACAGTGCGAAGGCATGGGTCAACACTGTCACCGAGTCCTTATCTGAACAAATCGACAAGAAGCAGTGGCTTCAAGCCCTTCAGGTTTTCACAATCAAATTCAACACTTTTACATGTGTATGAGAGGAAATTGAGGGTTTTTTTTTGTAGACTATTTATTTAGTTGCGTCAAATTTAATGTGTGATTGGAGAATAAATAATAGCTGCATTGTTTTTATACTCCTTAAATCACAAACTGACGTTGATAATCTCGTTGACTTAAAGGTTAAAATATAATATTGTCTTCCACCAAAACTTTTTTTTTCTAGTTCAGTTCCTTCTTTTAAAGTTTTAAAAGTCTTTGCTTTGAGCTCTTAGAGTGTAGTTGATCTAATAATAAAATGAAACGTTTTTAAGTTAGGGAACTAAACTAGAACCAAGAACCCAAAAGTGGAAGGTCCTCTTTAGAGCATCTTTTTCCATTGACACTTCTAAGAGAGAAAAAACAAAGAGAAAGAAAAGTTAAACCAGTTTCTTTCCTTAAGTTAAAATTGGCTTATTCATAACTTAAGTATTAGATTTTGGAGGAACTAGTATAAAGTAACTTATAAATTAATTTATGCATATGCTAATTTTAATTCGCATAGAAAATAATTTTTTTTTTTTTTTTCTTAAAAGTGTTAGTGGAATATTTTTTTTATCATAACAGACTCAAACTATATTTTAGCATATAATAATTACCTTAAAAATCGTACTAAGAAAATCTGATTGATTGATAGCCTAAGAACTTTTAGTGCATGTATCTGATGAACAATTGGTAAGAATTTTACTTAAATATTCAGGTATTTGATATGCTTAGAGAACAAACTTTCTACAAGCCTAAAGAAGGGGCGTATATGAAACTCATTGTGCTGCTTGGAAAATCTGGTCAACCCCACCGTGCCCACCAACTTTTCACCACAATGATTGAAGAAGGTTTAGAACCTACTCCTCATCTGTACACAGCATTGCTTGCTGCGTATTGCAGGAGCAACCTCATTGATGAAGCTTTTTCAGTTCTTAATGAGATGAAGAGGCTTCCTCTTTGCCAGCCTGATGTTTTCACTTACAGTACCTTGATCAAAGTTTGTGTGGATGCTTTCAAATTTAATTTGGTTGAGTTATTGTATGAAGAAATGGCTGAAAGGTCCATCACACCAAACACGGTTACTCAGAACATCGTTTTGGGTGGTTATGGTAAGGCGGGGAAGTTTGATCAGATGGAGAAAGTGCTTTCGAGCATGCTGGAGAGCACTACCTGCAAGCCTGATGTTTGGACAATGAACACCATCATTAGTGTCTTTGGTAACAAGGGTCAGATTGATATGATGGAGAAATGGTATGAAAAATTCCGTAATTTTGGGATAGAACCTGAAACGCGCACTTTTAACATTTTGATTGGCGCCTATGGGAAGAAAAGAATGTATGACAAAATGTCATCTGTTATGGAGTATATGCGCAAGTTGCAATTTCCATGGACAACCTCGACCTATAACAATGTGATTGAGGCATTTGCCGATGCTGGTGACGTGAGGCACATGGAGTGTACATTTGATCAGATGCGTGCTGAGGGTATGAAAGCAGATACCAAAACTTTCTGCTGCCTTATCAATGGTTATGCAAATGCAGGTCACTTTCATAAAGTAATTAGCAGTGTTCAATTGGCTGGAAAGTTTGAGATACCTGAGAATGTTGCCTTTTATAACGCAGTCTTATCTGCATGTGCAAAGGCAGATGATTTGATGGAAATGGAAAGAGTTTTTAAGCGTATGAAAGATAACCAATGTCAACCGGACGAAACAACATACATGATCATGATTGAAGCATATAGAAAAGACGGTATGAATGACAAAATATACTATTTGGAGCAGGAAAAGCAGACATTGATAACTGACAATAAAATAGTGAGCCATTCTGAGGATGAGATCTATTGTTCAGATAGCTAATGAATCTGTATTCCATACTTATTTTATGGGAGCAGCTGCTTATTTTTGTCTTGAAATGGAAGAAGTTACCAGTTGCTGGTTTACGCAATCAAGGTTCAGTTGTCATGGTGAATTACAGAACTTCTGCCTAACTTCTGGTTGCTTGTTGTAAAGTTAAATTTAAGCTTTAAAATCTATTTTATTTTCAGAAAAGAGCTTCAACGTCTGTTTCTTTTTGGTGTACAGGGTTAGTGGATTGATGGTAGAGTTATTAGTTTTTTTGGTCAAATTGAACTTATTCTATATTCAAGTGCTGCTTTTTTTACTCATGCTGCAAGAGTTTCAAAATATCCATGAGTCCCTGCTTTTGTAAAGTATAATACTTCTAGATTGCAATATTATATAACCTGAAAGCAAAACTTACATCAGTTCCATGGATGATGACCTTTGATCTGTCTAAAATTGTATGTGCATTGAATTCTAGGCTAGGGTGTTCGTTGAATTTTGAAGACCAAAAGTGGAAGTAATGCGGAAACTCTGAATTTCCATCTTCAGACTAAACCAAATGGATTTAATATTGTCTGAATGATAGCTGATGTGTTGAAGATTATATAAACTTTATCAAAGTGCAATTTACTTATACTTGTGGTTGTGGCAGCAAAAGAAACAGTGTTTATCTCTTAACTGACAAATATTATTTTCAATGATTTCTAAATACCGATTCCGTACTGGTGTCTGATTATAGGTTTCTTTTATCGGTAAATCTTGTGTCACAATACCTGAACCTTCCATAAATGAAGTAAATCGTGGGTTGTCATCTCTAGTTTGGAGACTCAATATGTAGCTAGTCTATAACAATGACGTAAGGAAATAATAATATTCAGGATCACACCTTTTAAATACATAATATGGTCTACTACGTGTAGTATCTATGCTTTTTTGTTGCTGTTTGTAATATCTGATAGTTTAGGTTGCTGTTTTGAAACTAAATGTAATTATGTTTTCGCTAAAATTGTAGTTCTAGAGAATGTGTTTTAATAATGTGTTCACAAGTTCAACTTTTCAGTTGATTTGACTAAATAATGTAAATCATGTTTTCACTGGAATTGTTTTAGTTGTTTTGACAATAAATAATGTAATCATGTTTTCACTAAAGTGGTAAATCTAGAGAACGTGTTTTCAGGTGTTCATAAGTTATTACCGTGTCAAGAATTCTGTCCTCTAAGTTCCATCACAGTTAAGAATGACAAAAAGAAAACCATACTCAAATAAAATTTCATATACTTTAATGCAATTTCTTCCTATATCATATCATTTTCTTCCTGCACCCTACCACTTCCGAAATTTATTTTCCAGAACACAATAAATAATTTTAGAATTTTTGTTTATGGAAATTTTTTCCAGAAGCGAATCAATCCCTCTTTTTACGGAAAGCATTTTCCGAAAGAATTTTGATGGGGTGGGAGTTTAACTATTTATTAGTCATTACATAACCCAAATTTCGTTTTGCCATCAGCATCCAACAAATTACAGAAGCATCTTCTATAATAGGTGGTTGTTATAGTGAAAAAGGCAGGTTCTGCAAAAAAAAAAAACAAGAACTAATGTTAGATCCAAAATCATATTTTGTAATAATACTTTTACTTTTGTTTTATATTTTCTGCTAATACCTTAAATTCACTCTAACATCATTTTTCTTTTGGCTTGTAAGAAAACTTGTGGTGGTTCATCACTACACCAAATGAAAACCTTTCCAATATAATTGTTTGCTTAAGGAATGTGTTTCCAAAGTGTTGTTATTTCCAGCTTGTCACCATGAGTCACGAGGTCAATGACTTACATAACGTTTATATATTCATTCTGGAATCAAGGGTTTAGACGCCACTATATAATATAAATATTCCATCTAGGGCTTCCCTGACAGGACACTGAAATTTTATTATTAAACATCATGATATTCCAAAAAGTGCCCCTATTCACATTGGAGGAATGGAAGAGAACAAACCAGAATTTAACATGCAAATCTTTCAGGCCGGAAGCTTGTTGTTCCACAAAATGAAGTGGTAAATGAATGAATGAATCATGCCACTCTGATATATCCTTGCGTGTCTTCATTAAATTTTGACCATGCATATCTTTCTGTTTCTTAGTAAAATATTTCAATCATTTCTAGGCATGGACTTTGGTGATTAATTAATGTACCTGTGAAAGCTCAGTTACATTGATAATGTAAAAAAATATGGGTTTACAGTTGTAATTTTCATGTGATACTAGCTTCTTCAATTGTCATTAGCACAAGACAATACATGACATAATGCATTACGTAAGCAACTGCCACTGTCAAGCTTATCAAAGCAGCAGAGAGATTTCTATATAATGTTCAGAAGTGGAGAATATGCCTTTGAGCTGCATCTGAGATGGCACAACTAGTAGGTGCAGATGAGATAGAGTCTCTAAGAATTGAGTTGGCTGAGATAGGAAGGAGCATAAGGTCCTCATTTAGAAGCCATGCCTCTAGTTTTCAGAGCATTTCAAGCATAAATCCTGTTGAACAAGATGATAATGAGGAGACAGAAGGGTTACAATGGGCTGAACTTCAGAGGTTACCAACCTGTGAGAGAATTACTTCAGCTTTGTTTGATGTTTATGATGGCATGGAAACATATGAGAAAAGTAAAGGGAAGCAGGTTGTTGATGTCACCAGGCTTGGAGCTCAAGAACGGCACTTGTTCATAGAAAAGCTTATTAAGCACATTGAAAATGATAATCTTCTACTGCTGCAGAAACTCAGGAAAAGAATTGACAAGTAACTAGTTCTTCTAGATTCTCTCTTTCTCTTTAGGGATATGGCGTGTTATTTTGAACTGTTTCACTTTATTAATCATTTTACAGGTCAACTAAAATTTTATTTATCACTGTCTATGGAGAAATCAACAATAGAAAACTAGCTAGTGCAACAGAAAAAGACAAGTTTAATAATATAGCGGTATAAGAAAACAACATTTTTTTATCCTTTTTCATTTATATAGCAGAATATTGCTTGGTATGGAAATTTCATGTGCTGTGGTGTTAATTATGATCTATCAAGTAAGTAAATGGAAAGATGGTTAATAAAGTTTACTATTTTTGACTGTGTAGAGTTGGTATTAAGCTGCCCACAGTGGAAGTGAGGTATCACAATCTGTGTGTAGAAGCTGAGTGTAGGATAGTTAAAGGCAAACCCATACCTACGCTGTGGAATACCCTGAAAGAGTTTATCCTTGTAAGTATTCTTATATGAATGAATTGCAAGCAACTTCTCTTACAACATTGATATTTTAATACACACTCTGATCTTTTATTTTTGCACTACCTAAGAGACTTTCTCCCCTCCTCTTGTTTCTCTCTTTCTTTTTCTCTTTAAGGACACCACTAAATTGTCAGTTCTGAATTCTCAAGATTTGAAGATAAACATCATCAAAAATGCCAGTGGCATTATTAAGCCGAGAAGGTAATTTGCAAAAGTTTTACAATGTTATTACGTGATTCTTTATTTAATTATTCATTGAATTTGATATTAGTATATTCAGTATGGTGTAAAAACATGAGTAAAACTACAACGATTTATTATATTTTTTTTTTGTTGCAGGATGACCTTATTGCTTGGTCCACCAGCAAGTGGTAAAACAACTTTATTGTTGGCATTGGCAGGAAAATTAAGTCATTCTCTCAAGGTTCTGACTTTTCTTAATAAATTTAAATCAAACTTGTGTCAATAGAAAATTGGTACCACAAATTTATATACTTCACTTAAAGAAAAAACTTTAAAGCCCATGTGCACATTTCAAATATAAAACTAAAGTTTCTGTCCATTTAATGTCACAGACAATTTAAATGAACAGAGATATTTATATTAACGCAGATTAAAATCCGAAATTTAGTATAATATAACATACACATACAATTTATCAAAACAACAAACAGATTAAGATCAGAATTTCCATAATAATTATAGGGTGTGCCTGCTCAAGCTATAGTGCTAGACTTGCGACACATGAGATCTCCCGTAGCAAGCTACTGTTTTGAGATCACCCCTTCAAAAAATTAATTTAATATGGTGTGGATTAATAAGAGAATATCTTAAAATATAGTGGCCATTATAATGTAATGACCATTATGATATCAAGAATAAGAAAATATTACAATATTATGCAGATATTTTAAAATTAGACAGTACAAAATCTACTTCACATAAATTACCATCCCAGAATTAAACAACAAAATGCTCCAATTCATATCAAATTTATTATTAACAGCATAAGCCACTGCAAAGAAACCTCCCTTTAGTTTCAGAAAACATTTGCCCATTTTGTAACATTATAATGGGGTTTTGCCATGCCATTATATTTGACTACTAGAAGACACCAAAATTTATTAAGAAACCTACAGAGAATAAAATGCCAATCTTCGATATCATAATAGAATAAAATTGTGACTACATTAGAGGGTGTGCCAGGCTCAAGCAATAGTGCAGTGCTAGAACGACACATGAGATCCCCAATAGCAAGCTACTGATATGAGAACTCCCCTTCAAAAAATTAATTTAATATCGTGTGAACCATTGATCCACATATCAGATATTAAACTGATAAGAACAGATACTACACTTGATCTTAGCCAAAAGGCCGAGAAAGGTATGAGTATTCTGGACTAACTATTCCTTTTTTATAACAAAATCTCCAGTGATTGTTATCTCTCTTAAGCGATATGGGACAAATGCTGATCCAAATGATCTTATCCTGTGGGAAGAGCTAAATTTGAAGTTTGTTTCTGATTAACAACACTGCTGACTTTGAAAATGGTAAACATGGAACAACTGAGGGATTGAAAGTGGACATTATTTCCCAAGGGATCAGAGAAACAAGAATTTCACTTTTACAGAAACCAGTTAAATCTTCCAATTCATTTTTAATGAAAACATGGACACACTCCTCCTAATCTAAATTTTACTCTTTTTTGGATTACTGTCCTTTTTCTCATGAGCTAAAAGATGAAGCCATCCCATCAAGCATTCATGCATTAAGACAGAATCAACTCAATATTTGTATATTTGTATTTAGTTTATTTGAAAAACGTTATACCAAAATTTTGAACGAGAAAACTTACAATTCATATTAACATAAAAATGTATCAGAAAAAGTACAGTACTAAAGTCTATAAATCTTACAAGCCCATGTGGACATTTTGAATATAAAACATTAAATGTATTAAAAAAATCATAGAATTCATATACAATTCACAATA